ACTGTATATGTAGTCTGAAAACAGAACTTGTAGTTGCATCTCAATACATCTGTCCACACCTGTATCTCAGACATGCCTCTGTTGATTTCATTCAAACTTTACACATACTTTACACATACATCACACAGCATATCATACATACATACATACATAAGCACATGTATTTGTTTCATTGTCCAGTTCAAGATGGCCAGATGGTGGCCATTTTAGTGCTAAAAATTCATCAAAGTCAAACATTTTTGAAGTTCTTGATGTAGAACTTGCTTGTGTATGGGCACATTTCCTACACGTTTGGTACCAATTTGGTACATTAACCAAAATACTAACACCCAAAAAAAAGTCGTTACTTTGTTTTGCAATTACATGAAATTGTTCCTTTCATAATATACCTATTATCAACTGGTGGCCATTTACTTTTAATGGGTTTCATGCACGTTTCTCTTGAATGAAATTTCTTTTCTGTTGAATCTTAGTTCATGGATAGAATATCAAAAGATATACATCTTCCAACATTTTTGTTGTGATTGATTCACTATGGCTGACTGACAGCCAATTTTATTTTAAAGTGTCATCATTTTTTACCTGTCTGGAAATTTTTTTTCGGAGATGACCAGGCCAATTTGGATCAAAGTTGTTATAATGATCTTACATTTGAATTAAGTCTCTGTTCAGTCTTTATCAATACACAGATGGAGTGTCAAGAGATGCATCTGTGTCGACAAAAAAGGCTAAGCTTGATACAATACATGTTAATAGTTAATAACTTGATATAATGACAAAAATAAATAAGTCGCTAAAAATCATTTCTACAACATAGTTTAATTACCTTTTGAGCATTTTCACCAATGACATAGATATGCACCTGTAGATGTTGTAGGCCTATGCAGAGACCTGATTAGTTTTTGGGTAAAATATTGTGCATATTAATTATCTAATTTGCATAACTAACCAATTTTCAACGTTCACACTGATATCTCAAGTACTATCATCACATTTTAATAACATTTGGTACATAAATACTCTAAGACAATAGACAGACCTGATTAATTATGGGTTAAAATCTCTACATATTAATTACCTAATTTACATAATTAAATCAATTTTAATCCTTCACACTGATATCTACAGTATTAATTATTCCATTTCAATGAAACTTGGTACGTAGATGCTCTAGGACAATGTGCAAACCTAATTAGTTTTTGGTTAAAATCGGTTCATATTATTTCTGTAATTAGCATAATATTTTATAATGTTTCACATTTCAATGGTACATAGATGGTTTGTTACATTGTGCACACCTTATTAGTTTTACACTCAAATCTGTTCATATTAATTATCTGATTTGCATAAATAATTTTTCCATCAATATTTCAAGTACCGGTACAAGTAGTTTTGATTTAATGTGTCTCCAATACTCTCTCAGCACACAGGAGTTCTTTCTAAGCTTTCTTTGATTGTAATGATAATATTAATTTATCAAATTACACTGCTTTCAAAGTATGAAACTTGCATCTTATTAGGTAGTATTAATTAACTACATCACAGACCTGATGTTCCATAATGTGTTCCCTTTAACTATCATGTGCTTCAAGTATGGTCTTCAAGATATGTCACTCAACATGGCTACCACTCGTACCTCCTTCAAGAAGCAGATGCATTAAAAAGCTCTTTAAATTTCATTTCCATTTGCCATTTTATCATTATAGCTCAGTATCATCTCTGCCAAGACATTGATTTCTTTGCAATTGAAGGTGAGCACCATTTTATGTTACGTAGTAACATGTTGCATGTTAGTTACAATACTACAATGTAGTTGGACATAGAGACCTGTCTTAACCAACTCCATTTGCTTACATCTTCCATATAGCCTTTATGAACTGTTGTCGCGATGTGTTTTCCATCTTTGCTCATTTGATATCCACATTATTCACCAACGTCATTGTATATTGCGCAACTTGAGCAGTAATCTGTTTGGTTCATGTTTAACGGAGTACATTGATGTATGTGATCAAAATGTTTAGTCACCCTGTTACCCTGAAACACTTGTCAAAAGATTGAGTAAAATTATTGTTAGTGAAATTGTCTCGTTTAGTGTGTTCACTCAGTGAAATTGGACACATGTTGTGGGCCGCTCTCCTTGCATTAAAAATAATAGAATGCACTGCAAGCTTACAGTGTTTTTGATTGGGAGAATGATATCTAGTTAGAGGGGCATAAAGTAGATTACCATGATAATCACTGAAATTTACTCTTGCATGTATACAAGATGATTAGTCTTACAAGTCTAATGATAAAAAAATAGTTTTTTCTTCCCTTCATGAGCTATGTGCATCAGGTTATGAGGCATCAAATGAGATGCAGTAAACATGGACTTGTATTAGTATTGAATGTCTTTTTGTTTCAGTTATAAGATATTCCCTGTTATTGCTGATAGCCTGGGCCAACACTCGGCCAGCAGTAGTTAAATTGGAACTGTGCAATACTGATAATTTTGATGTATGGTTAAAAAGACTAGTTTTAGAATCACCCGAGGTAAGTGTTTTGTTTATATAAAGTAG